ATTTAAATGAAATGTCCACATAATTTTTATATCATTTATAATATTATTTATATAAAAAATAATCAATTAATTCCGTTAATTAACGTGACATATCAGTAAAAATTTAACAAAAGGACCAAAAAGAAGCTAGATTTTAAAATTTAAGGATTAAAAAGGAGATTTTTTCGGTATAGGGATAAAAAAGGCCTTTTCCTATAGTAGAGGGACTAAAAAGGGTATTTAACCAATTATTTTGTATTGCTGATAGTCTTTCTTGTTCATCAATTGAAATTTTCGTTTGTATTTCCGCAGAGCAGGTCATTGTTGAAAGCTGAATCTGATGCAAAGTTAGGTTTTTTAATTGTAAAGAACTGACAGATACAGTCGTACAAACAATTACTCAAGCTGTAGGAAGAATTGATTATGCTGAGGTAAGTCAAAAACATCTTTTCCTTCCCATTTTTTTTTCTCTTTCACTTGGACTGATTTAGAAGCTGGATGTGTTAGTATGCTATTTAGTTGTCATATTGACGTTACCAGCCTTCTGTCTTTTAAACTTCGTAATCAAAGTTGGTTGGTCACCTTTTTAGAAACTGGATATGATGGTATGATGGTATGCTATTAGTTATCAAATTGACATTAACTGACATGAACTTGTTGGATGCACTAACAGTTTATTGTTGATCCAATCCCCTGAAACTTCTTGTTTTCCATGCTTGTTCATTGCCTATTTTCAATTTCCAAGAATCATCTTTGCCTTGTAATTGTTGAAATTTCTCATCCAGCCTTCCTCAAGCACTATTTTGTCATGGTTTTGGACTTAACCATCTCAGGAGGGAGACAGGGCAAGACAAGACCAGAGGCAATGCATAACCAAAATCCAAGTCTGTATTTAATGGAATACCCTTTAAGACATTGCTGCAAATGTCCATTGTATTACAAATTCTGGTAACCTCCACCAAAATATCAATGACGCGTTTTGTTATTACAAAAAGACCTCTCTTTTTTTAAGAAAAAGTACTTTATTTGTAAATTATGGCATATCACCAGAATGTTGTATTGGTTTTTTCTATATATCAAGGGTTTACTTTATTGTTGGAGGCAGTGGAAGAGATCAAGAACCCTGTTGTGTTCTGCATTGCCGCATGGTTTGGGAAGGTTAGGCTGATTGATAACATAGAAATCAGCATATGAAACAATGCCTCCATTGATTTACTTTTCATGCCCTAAGAGGACCTAACTGTTTTTCTGAGCTTCATACTTCCTGGGCAACTCT